TATATATATATATGTATATATTATACGTCTGTGTGTGTGTGTCTGTATGTGTATATGTATTTATGTATGATAACTATGTATTTTACATACGTGTGTAATTGCACAGATGGCGGAGTATCTCCTGTGCGCGTAATCCCTGCAATCCCTACACTCTAGCCCTTCATGAGCCTGAAAGGCTCCCCCAAACCCCGGAACCGTAAACCCTAAACCCTAAACCCCCTCACTACCTAGCTAAAGTGGCAGTTGTGCCCGTTGTGCCCTTTCACATATGCTCACAAGGTTCAAGCCTAGTTTTGGCGGCCGCCCCCAGATCCCTCCGGAGCCTTATTTAGTCCCGAAGCCCAAACCCAAAGCCCCAAAGCCAAAGCCATTAATCCTTAAACCCAAAGCCATCAGTCCCTAAACCGAAAGCCATTATTCCCCAGACCCAAAGCCATTACTCCCTAAACCCAAAGCCACGAATCCCAAAACCTAAAGCCATGAATCCCTAAACCCAAAGCCACTCCCCCCCCCCAAACCCAAGCAGATCCAGAGCATCCAGCCTTTATCACATCTGGAACGGCCGTCGAACCAAACCCCAAAAACCTAAACCCTGAAGTCTGCAATGCGGGCACGTCCTTGCTAAGTAGGAGGCAAAAAAGCCCTGAAGTCCTGAAAGGGTCGTGCTCGCCTTCTAAAGGGGACTGCACACTGCCTGCCTCTACGGGGCTGCCCCTAAGGACACCTGCGGGAAAAGGGCCCTTAAAACAAAACAAAACCCTGAAGTCCCAGCTTTAAAACCTGAGCCCCGCTTGTTTGAAGGCTCCCATGTTGATGTTCCCACTTGGAGGTTCATGGGTAGTTATAAGTGGGGTTATAAGTAGGGTAACTATATAATTATAACTTATAATTATATAGTTACCCTATACTCATATTTAACCCATATATATATATATAATATATATATATATATTAATTATACCTACCCACGAACCTCCAAGCAACCGTCGCCGCAGGAGCGTGCCAGACGGGCCCGCGAACACCGCGAGGCTCTAGAAGCGGAGCTACGCGCCTCGGTGGAGCTTTCGGTGCCACTGTGTTTACCCAGAGGCCATAGTAGTTCCTTTTTGGGACTACCTAATAGGGTCCGAAATATAAGCCACAAAAACGAACTACTATGGGGCCTATGGGTATTAGGATTTATCATGTTCGTCTTAAGTAAAACCATGGGATTATTAACGTTATCACAAATTCGGGGAAGGAGGGCGTATAGCTGGGTGGGTTTCTGTCGGGTTTCCGAGCATATAAGGGTTTCCAGTATAGGATTTTATGGTTTGTGTTACGTGATCTAGGATGATCTAGGGTTTTGGTCCAAGTTTTTCGGGTTCAACCACAAGCCCGAAGCCCCAAACCCACAAGCCAGGAGTAGTGGGAAACCTTTCTGAATGTCTCTCCAAGGCAACCTGGCTTGGGGGCATCGTTCCTAGCGATGCGAGAGGGAAGACCAACCAACCCTAAACCCGTCCCGAAAGCCCCACGTCCCCAGCTCTGCGTACGGCGGCCCTGACATGCCGATGTCACTTGCATCCCAGGAGCTATGCGCGTGGACATGGCAAAGCTTGAGAAGGCCGAGCTTGGGGCTTTGAGGGTTCGTACAAAGCTTCCGATGGGGTTTGGGGTTGTGAGGGTTCTTCAGGGTTAGTTTGAGTCTGGCTCAAACCCTATGCTACTTATCCATATGACTCGTCCGTGTTGTTGTTAGTTAGTGTGGTTCGTTTTCATTTTTAGCTAATGTTCAGTTGGGATGGAGGCTGGACTTGATATCAAGATAGGACCCAATGTAGCCTTTCAGCAGTCGGTCATTGGACCTCAGTTCATGGCATCGATGTCCATTTCAACCCCTCAGCATGTGGGTCATTACGCCCAATGTAACCCCTCAGCAACCTTCTAAACCCAAAACCCAGAACCCTAAACCCAAAACCCTAAACCCTAAACCCCTAAACCCTAAACGGTCATCGGACCTTAGTTCATGCCTCGATGTTTCAACCCTCGGCCTGCGAAGAGGGGAAGGGGCTGAGGCCCTCTGGCAGATTTCGGCCTCAGGGGGTGTTTCGGGTTTTTTTTTGGGGGGTTAGGGATCAGCTTAGAGCTTCGGGGTTTTGGGATTTAGTTTAGAGGGCGTTGGGGTTTTAGGGAAATTCGGGGTTTAGTTTAGGGCTTTTAGTGTTGAAGGCAAGTTTAGGGCTTTTGGGGTAAAACGTTGCGACAGTCCTTGCCCTTGTCTGCTTTGTCCAAACACAAGCCCTGCAGCCCAAAACTCCGTTTGTCTTAAATGCTCTGAAGCCTTATACGCCCTACATTACCAGAGTTGGGCACTCGAAGCGCCGAGCAGGAGTATGCCGAGCAGCAGAGGGTCCTGTCGGAAGAGGCACGATGGGCTCAGGGATTTTGAATCTCGGTGTCAGGATGCACGGACCTTAGGATTCAGGGTGACTGGTACCGGGGCTTGGGGCTTAGGTTTCATTGCCTAAGGGAAAGAGGTTTCAGACTTCGGGCCGTGATTGAAGGAGCTCTGAGCCAAGGGATGGGGGAGTTCCAAGGACGAGCACAGATCCTGCCGCATTACCGCGCATACTATCGGGCGTTGGCTCAATCTCGGCACAACAATTAGCACATGGTTGGGCGGCATTGAGTGCATCAGCATAAGTGAGGTAGAGATTGAAATTGTAAGGAGTGATACAGCGAAGCTTAGACACCCCCCCAACTCGCTACCACCTGGATCGCCTTACTTCGGAGACCTTCAAGCTCGAAGTTTTCGAAAGGTTTTATATTCCCTAAGACCTTGAAATCAACTTTATCTCTGCCCCTGATCCAAGTTGAAGAGCCCCCCTTAAGCTCTGATGCAGCCCCACTGCCGGGTTCAGGGTTTAGGGTTTAGGATGGGGGGATTGGTTGGGTTTGAAAACTTGCTTTCAGCTACTGTAGGCTCTGCATCATTTTTGCTGTTGCTCTGGTCCCTCCCTTTTGGGCTTCCATCTGGAACTACATGTAGGTGACTATAGAACGTGCGCCTGAACGAGAATCCTAATTTTTCAATACTTGACAAGGGTCTCCGCTTAGAGGCTTTAGATCAAGGATTTCTTTGTGGTTTACAACTTAGGATTCAGATTGGAGTCCACAGGGTCTGTGTTGCGGTTTGGGAGGCTGAAATCCTAAACCAGTTTAGGTATTTAGGGCTTGTCTCTATCTATGGGCTTGGGGTTTCGAGGTGGCCGCGGCAGACGTTCGCACAGCGCGGCTGGCCCTCGAGACAGAGGTGGCGATCTTAGAAATGCGTCGGCAGCATAGTTTTGGGGGCTTTGGCCGTGGGCCATGAGGATCCTTTTACTCTGAAACATAACCTCCCGACCCTAAACCCTAGACTTTAACCCTAAAGCCTAAATGCTTTTCAGACTCTAGCAGGATGGAAAAAGGGTCGTTCAAAAAACAAGCCTAAATCCTAAGCACCTGAACCCAAACGAGCCTCAACCCTGAATTTCTTTTAATTCTCAGCTTTTAAAAGGGCCCCAAACTCCTATGAACTGGAACCCTCGGTGTAGGGTTGGGGGTTTAGGGCGTAGGATGGGGGCTTTAGGGTTTATAGGTTTTAGGATTGTGGATTTCGGGTTTAGGGTTTTAGGGTTGAGGGCCAAGACGATTATGATGTTGTGCGCAGTGCCCTGTATGGTGTTTCCAACGAGTCATTCAAGCAATCGACGGTTATCGTCATTAGTGTATACTAGGGGCCTAAATGATTGATTACCTACACTATTTTGAGGGGATCCTTATTATAGTTGTAGTATAAAGGGCCCCCAAACCCTATTCTAGTTATTAATGTAAGGCCCCTGCACTAATCATTCCGGAGGCATGGTTGGCACGAGTCCGAAGGCTTCTAGCTTAAAGCTGTGGGCTTCGGATGTGCCTCTTGCTTCTGTCCTGGTTGAGTCGCTGCAAACCAGATACCAAAAAAGGGTTATAAGGGCGTGGCTGCATGGGAGACATTCTGTCTGGCGTGTTTCAGTGGGTGTTGCAGCCAGCGGTGACAGTAGATCAGCTAGTAGAGCTGTCAAGTAGAGTCGCTTTGTCCTCAGTTCTTTCTTCAGGCTTACCCGGCAGTTGCAATAGGCCTGGATGCAAAAAGGGTTGGAGGGTTTAGGGTTTGGGGGGTTTGCTTGGAGGTTCATAGGTAGTTATAAATGGGGTTATAAGTAGGGTAACTATAATTATAACCCATATTAGGGGACTTATTAACAGTACTCATAACTACCCATGAACCTCCAAGTAGGGCACAACGAGGCCTGTTGCAAAAGGGTTGGGAAACTCGAAAGTCGCCGCCCCAACTCTGACGCTCTTCAGCCTCCCCAGTATCCCCCAACACTTTAAGCTAGATGCTCACCCTAAACCCTAGACGCCCTCAACCCTAAGTCCAAGATCCTGAAGACATGGGCCGTCAGAAGAACCTACACCCGAAATCCGGCGGTTCCGGTTTAGGGCTCCGCCTCACAAGAATCCCGAGCCATAACGCCCTACCAAACCCTATACTCCAACCGCCTAAATCCCTGAACCTCGCTAGAGTTGGAAACCCTCTAAGAACTTGTAGAACTCTCATGAACGCAACAAAAATGCCATATAGGGTTTAGGGTTTAGGGTTTCATAAGGCTGCATAGGAACCCTAGAGACAGGTCCAGGTCTCCGCGCTTCGACAGGAAGCCGAGGAAGCCGTGGCCTATCTGAAGGAAGACTCCAGAGGGTGTTCATATAGGGGCCTAAATAATTACCTATACTATTTTGGGGGCTCCTTATTCTAATCATAGTATCCCCAAACCTTATTCTAATTATTAAGGCACCTACATTGGGGCCTTTGGGGTTTTGAGTCTTTTGTTTGAGGGCTTTCCGGCTTCGAGGCTCTTTATTTTGGGAGTTCTAGCATCTCCAGCTTTAGGCGTTCGGGGCTGACTGAACTCATGTTGGCAGCTTGTAGTACTGCCGACTGTTCATGGTCCAAGATGAAAGTGGGTAGTTCTCTAAATTAGGGTCCCCTTTAGGGTCCTTTTATAAGGGTGCCGTACCATATTGGGGACCCACAAAGGGACCGTAATTTAGAGAACTACCCAAGTGGAGGTGGTGGTCTCGTCTGTGTGTTGATGCTTGGGTGGTCAGGGGCCTAGCTTAGGAGTATGACGGCTGTGCGGATCTGGGATAAACAGCGGCTTCGTGTAGCAAGCTTTTTAATCGGCGTCGTGTCGGTTTCCGGGGGTCTACTGTTAGTACAGTAGACAGTCTAATACACGCGGTAGACTCGATGTCGACTCGACAACGAACCCTGAGCCTTCACCACGGAGAGCACGCAGCTGTCTAAGGTGAAGGCCACCTACGACGCGGTGCAGCAAGAGGGTTGGAAAGTAAAGCGGCTGCAGGATGAGTTTGGTGGGCTTGCCGAGGCCGATTCTGTGACGTAAAGTCCGTAAACCCCCAAACCCAAAGCCCGATGTTTGAGGTTTATAGGGTTTGGGGCGCCAGTCTCTGGCGATTGCACAAGTCCAGATGCAAAAAGGGTTTAGGGTTTACAGGCCCTGCCCGCACATTGGACGCCGCCCAAAGCTTGGAATCTTGAACTACCTAGGTCTCAAGTCCAAGATCAAGATTCAAGAGGTCGGGGTATTGAGCTTTCAGTGCCCCACTCAGCACCGCCCTCAAAACTAGTGGTCTTCCTGTACCCCATCATTCCAATAGTTTGTAGGCCAGAAAAAAAGACTGCACTGCAAATGATGTTTGCAGAACCTGCGGTGCGAACCCCAAAAAGCAAACCTCCATTTACAATGTTCATAATATGAAGCCGCCGGCAAACAGCTGGGGAATCAAGAAAAGCTACTCCAGCCCCGAAGCCCTTGTCCTAAAATCCTAGACCCTCAATTCTAAATCTACGCCTTAGACTCAAACCCGAGCAAGAGCCTTCGCCAGCCCGAAACCCAACGCCGAGTAGCTGGAGATGCGTCGAAGGCGGTAACTGGTGTGACGGCCTGTGACCGGGATCACCAGCTGCGGTCGATTCCTAAAGTCAAAGCCAGACCGCACCCCGGCCAGGTTTCCAGTGTACCTTGAGGGTTCCAGAAATCACCAAGGTCCTTTGCGGCGTTGTCCCATATTGCCCCTGGGAACCTGGGTTCGGTTCTATGGCCACTAGAAGGTACATTAGCTGATCATTAGCCGCCGGGATTGGCGTTTTAGAAGTTCTCGAGGTTCAGTTCATGCAAGAGACACGGTTTTGGGTTTAGGGTTTAGGGATCAGGGTTTCGGTATCAGTGGTTTCAGATGCTCACCTTCGGTCTCAGCACTTTGGCTCCTGAGTTGATCTGCTTCATGCAAACTCCTTGGCCAGTATGAGTTCCTTCCAAATCAGCACCCCTGTGGTTTTCGTCAGCATCAAGTAAGCATGACAAGACAGCAACAGCGTAGCAATAGCATACCAGAACCGCTGTTATAATTCATAACACCAAAGTAGCTGGTTGCAATGAGGATAGCACCAATTCGTAGTCATCCCTTCAACGAAGCTTTGAGCCATGAGCTTCCTGTGAGCCAAGGTTTGATGTCCCTGAGCATCCTTTCCGTGGAGTGGGCAAGTATGGATCCTCGAAGCCTCTGCAAAAACCCAAAGGGTTTCTGGAAGAGGTCCGCGCCGCAACTGCGGCAAAGCAGAGGTCATCATGAGGGCAGATGCCGAAGGTCTCAAAACTGGGCTGCAGATCACCGTGATGCCTTCATGCGCATGCGGACACGCTGCACAAAAGTAATGTGGCCATGCAGCCCTGCAGATAGGCGGTCTTGCTAGGGGTTAACAAGACGCCCTTCGAAATATCCTCATGGCCCGCAAGCTTGGACCCGAAGCCCAGTAACCTCATAAAGTCCCTATAGAAGCCAATGAAACCTATTATTCAACCCTCGTTGAGACCTGATCGAGCCCTTAGTCAAAGCAACTCTATAATGACACCCTTCCAAACCGCTGAGTAAACGAAACTCTACAGCAACCCCTATAACCCTCCAATCTGTTTCCAGCCGTCTCAGCAGCTCCGCTTTTTGAGGCTGTCAGACTACTTGGAGGAGGTGGGGTGCCCTAGATCTGCCCCGCCATGACTTGGTTACCCAGGTATTCGAAAGTTTCGGGTTTAGGGCATCCTCTTCGGGCTGCGTCTCTAGATACCATGTGCAGAAAACTCAACATCATGCCAGGTTCTAACAATTTGTGGTGTTGCTGGTTTAGCCCTCTCGAGAGATCGTGCCGGCCAGGGATCGAAGCGCAAAAAAACCCTAAACCCTAAACCATGAACCCTAAACCCCAAACCCTTCAGGGGTCTGAGTCTGAGGGTTCGAACCTCCCGGTCCACCCTCTCGCAGTCGCAGGGTTTCCAAAGCCAGCTCAAACCTGGGCGGGGGAGTAGCCTCGCCGAGTCTTGGGATGCACCAAGGTGTCTTGGTATGTCTTTAGTCAAACTCATTCGAGTCCTAGTCTAGTTGAGGCAGTTGGAGCTCATGCCCTGGACATCTTTCGCAAAGATGTTGTCGGTCTTGTGTATGGTATTTCGACATTGTGCCTTGAGTGAGCCAGGTCGTGCCCGTTTGCCGGAAGCGCGGCGACAAGTTCTACATGAAAGGACGCTGCTGCTGCTGTTCCGAACGGAAACCTCCGCCATGCCCTAAACCCTGTTGATAGACTGCTTATGTTGCCAGGCAAGTGTTTCACAGCAGAGGTGGAATTTCTCTTTGATGGAGACTGCCCCATACTCGAGCCCTTTCTGGCTGGCTCGCAGATCACGTCTTATAGGTTTTAGCTCACCTCAACCCCTCTTAACGTCTCCATCTCGTAGTCGATAGTCGGGTGAGTGGATTTTGGTGAGTTGTGATGAAGATCCTACCCAAATTAGAAGGTTGTTATCAGTACTGTTGATGGACAAAATTCTGCATGACCCAAATATAGTATAGTACCATAAATCCCATAGTTTAGGTATATAAGGTCATGCAGGATTTTGTCCATCAGCCGTATGGCTCTGTGTTTTTTCTTGGGAACCTGGTCTGAGATTCGTTCGGTGTCACTACTCAGCGGACCTCGAACCAGATGCCTCGCCTGGACTGTCCGCGCCGAAACCCTCCGGAGCCCTGCATAGTGTAGGGGCCTTAATAAGTACCCGTACTATTTTGGGGGGTTCCTTATTAAAACTATAGTCTAATGGGTCCCAAAATCCTATTCTCACTATTAAGGCCCCTATATAAGCCCCGGAATCTCAACCCCAAACTCGTAGAGGAAGTCTTCGCAAACTTTCCCCAAGTCTCAACAAAGCCCCTGCACCCAAAACCCGAAGCCTAACACCCACAACACTTCCCCTTGAAAGCCCTAACTTAACCCCTAATAACCTGCCTTTTTAAGGACTTCTACAAAGAAATCAGAATAAGGAACCCTAAAAAGGTAGAATCAGAAGAAGGAACCCTAAAAAGGTAGGTTCTTTGGGGTTTAGGTCGGCCCAGAAGCCGGAAAAACCCTGGGGAAGGAATTCAGGCGCTGGCCTTCGTGCGTGGGGAGCCCAGGGGGTTTTAAGGCTTTTGGTGCTTTCAGGGACTTGAGGGTTTAGGGTTTAGGGTTTAGGGTTTAGGGTTTAGGGTTTAGGGTTTAGGGTTTTAGGGTTTTAGGGTTTAGGGTTGAGGGTTTAGGGTTTGGGGTTTAGGTGCTGCTAGGGCTGCTTGCTCCAACTCCGGGCGAAGTGGAAAGCCTGTTGCAAAACGTGCTTTTTGAAATAGCTGACCGGGTCCTTGCGACAGTTGTTGGTTCAAAGATCAACGAACAGCAAGCGCAACATCCTAAACGCTAAACCCTAAACACCGCCAGGCTGGAAGCAGTCGCGATTTCGAGAAGCACTGCCGCTGTTTCACGCCCGGCACCAAGGTTTACGGTGTAGTATTTTGGGAAAATGAGTCGGGAATCCAGACGAAACCTGTGCATAAAGTCTGGGATAAGCAGCAAGGGCTCGCACAGGGAGCTTTCCTGGCCCAGGTAGATGAGCAAATTGGAGTTTAGGGCCAGCTTAGAGCTCAAACCCCAGACTGAGTACACAAGCATGGAGATCTTACAACTGAGTGGGATGTTACGGTTTAGGGTTTAGGGTTTTGTTCTAGCATCGCCATGCTGGCGGCACTTGAGCTCCAAGTCCATGTTCCCTTGTGTTTGTGCGTGGTTTTCGGCCGAAAACGTGGTTATCGGGCCAGCCTCGTGTACTAGCTTGAGGTTTAGGCAGGATGTACTACGGGGGTGCCCTGAGCCCTGAAACCCTACACGTGGTAGACAGGAAAGAGCCTTACAACAACGACTCTACAAATTTCAGGGTCTCGGCCGAAATCCTCTTTAACGGGGCTTTATAGTGAGGAACCCTTTAAGGAAGGACCGTGCTAATTAAATACAGGCCCCTATGTGTGTATACCTTCTAAAAGGAGCCTAAAAGGGGCCCTAATTTAGATAACTACTTATATCAAACGCAGAGACCTGTGCTTGCGGCTGAGGAGATGGAGAAGCATTTGGGAAAGAGCTGGGGACCTGGTTGCTGGGGTGTTGAACTTGAGGGTTTAGGGTTTAGGGTAGAGCCCAATGCCAATACCCCTTGAATGGAACGTACCTTAAATTTGCAGGAACCTCAGAATCTGGTTTATGCTATACATGTATTGCGTGTGGGAGGGCGTAGAGCTGGAGGCTGCAATATGGGGGGCCTTAAACACTTCCCACAGGGTTGGGGGGGGGTGGTTTTTTTATTTATGTTACAGTGATTGTGGTGTAGCTACACACGGAGTCTTACTTTTATTGAACCCTTTATATCATCTCTACAGTAGTAGGGTTTAGGGGTTAATCCTTGGCACTTCTAGGGCCTAGATCCCAAACCCTGAAAGTTTGCAGTTTACTTACGGTTTGCAGCCTACGGGTCTCATGTCGCACATGTACCTCCGACATCAACTCCCGTACTTCAGAGCCCGCGGAACTCTGAACCCCAAACCCTAAACCCTACCTGGCAAGCTGCGTGCACTCTTTGAGTTCAGACCACTTCCCCCCTCTCAAAAAACCCGAAGGCTCCACCTCTTACTAAACCCTAAACCCTAAACCCTAAACCCTAAACCCTAAGTTGAAGGCTCCACCTCCTCCAATAGACACACAGAGGTTCAGAAGAGGACCCAGGGCCCTCCGTGGAAAACTGCCCGGTTCAACTCGCGCCCACCACGCCGAAGCAATCTACGGGCCTGAATTATTTAGGGTTTAGGGTTTAGGGTTTAGGGTTTAGGGTTTGCGGGGATACTCTACCACAACAAAATTCTCCGGAACAAATGGAGAAATATTGGTTATCCTATTATATACCTTGATTCTAAGCTACAGTACTGCCTATTGGCCTATTGGCGCAAACAGTCGGAGCGTTGCATGAATTGTGAGTTTTGGATTCGCTGTGTGCATTTTGGGCACTTATCCTACGCTCAAGCGAAGAATCTCCTTCAAACTATTCAAAGCGCCCTGTAGCCAATGGTTCGGCTTAGAGCTCCAACCGTAAGGGTCCATGTGCCTGAATGGATACTTTGGCCCCAGAGTACCTAGATAGGGACTACCCTAAGGCCAAGATACATACTATATTTGGGCACATGGACGGTTGGAGCAAAGCTTCTATATGGGTAATTCTCTGAATTAGGGTCCCTTTGTAGGTCCCCAGTATAGTACGGCACCCTTATAAAAAGGACCCTAGAAGGGACCCCAGTTTTGAAAACTACT